GGAGGCGGTGGGGGCAGGTGGGTGCTGCCTCTGTGCCCGGTGCTCTGCCCCTTCCACTTTCCTCCTCTCCTGCAGCGGGTCCCTGCTGGGAGCAGCGGGTCTGTGCTGGGCTGTGCCCTCTGTGCCTGCCCCAGCCAGGAGAGGGGGACGTGGAGGGATGCAGAGGCCCCCTGGTCCCAGGGGTGGGTTCATGCCTCAGCTTCCCTGCCACGCCATTTCTGGCAGCCCCTGGAAGCCCTGGGGTGCTGGGAAGGTGCGTGCAGAGCCGGCAGCGCCTGCTGCTCGCCTGACCAGCATTGTTTGGGTTGGTCAACACTCGCATCCTGAGCCCCCGCCGTGCTTCCAGCCGCAGCTTCATCACAGTTACAAGAGAAACAGCTCCCTGCTGCCAGCGCAGCCCCGGCCAAGGGGAAGCACTTGAGCAGGTTTGATGCTGGGCACCCGCACGCTTTCCAGGGGAGCCTCACCATCTGTGTCCTCCCCAGCTCCCTGCTGGCCCTGGGCACAATGAGCTGGTGGGTCTCATCAGGAACGTGCCCATCCTGGCAAGGCGCTGCCCTGCAAGCCACGGCTCGGGGACGCGGAGGGCAGGGATGCCCCAGCAGAACATGGGGGCAGAGCGGTGCCAGCACTGTCCTGCTGTGCTGCCACTGTGACAGGGAGCCAGGGCACGTCCCTGGAGAGCGGGAGGGAGAAGCACAGCAGGAAAAGCCTCCCCTCCCCGTGCTGCTGCACTGTGTGCCCAGGCCTGCCAGCAGCAGGCACCACGTGGAGGGAAGGGTCAGGGAGGGCAATAAAAATAGATCCCTGTGACGCTCGGTGCTGCTGGCTCCGGCTTTGAAGCGTGTTTGCGGTGTGGGCACAGCCCCATGACTTTGTCCCGCTGGCTGCCAGACACACATCGCCTCGTTCCCCGGGTCAGTGGTCCCTGGGTGGAGATAAGAATGGAGGGAAGGGCCCGATTCCCCCGTCGGATGCTCCACGCGCAGCCGGTCCCGGCCCTGCAGCCCCCGGGCAGGTGGCTCTCGGCTCTCCGTGGCCAGGAAAGGGCTGTGTGGCCATGGGCGAGTGACGGTGCACCTCACGCCCTGGGGAGGCGGTGGGCACAGGGCCCTCCCGTGGGAGCAAACTGCAGCCGTGGGTGGTTTGGCTGCACCAGCTGAGGCTCCTGGCACCCAGGGCTGGGGGCACTCAGCACCCGAGGTGGAACAAAGACCGAGGTTTTCAGTGCAAGGGAGGGGCGATCCCCCTCAGTGGGAGCCAACAGGCTGCGGCCAGGGACGGGCTCCGGCCGGGATGTCACCTGGAGCAGGACTGGTGCTGTGCTCCACCCGCTGTGCATCCTGCCCGCCCAAAGGCTGGCCACCCGCCGGGGCTCCCCTGTGGCCCTGAGACAGCTCTGCGCTGTGCCGGCACCATGGCATGGTGCTGGTGCGGCCAGCTCAGTGGCGGGGGGAGGGGGGGGGGCAGGG